TAATGTCACTGTCTTTTTCTTATTCTGCGGGGAGTGAATGTACCTTTAATCGTTTTCTCCAACTAGGTCTATCCCTATACCTGGTGGACAAAGCAACCGTAAGGTTTGGACATTTTCTTATTTGCCCCTGTTTCTGATATTATGAGTAATCGTCTTTTGTTTCATATGTAAATATTTATGAGCAACAATTATTGTCAAATGCATATATCAAAAATGAACCATTGGACGTTCTTGCAAAACAAAACAGAAAAAGGAAAATAATTTGAAATTTCTTTGTGAAAATGAATTGTATTGATTTTGAAGGTGGCCTATAAATAGGTGTTTTTGTATAAGAGGCTGACATCCTAGTAAGAGAATGCCGCCGAACAGTAGAGTTTATACAGTTTGTGTAAAAGAAAGAAAAACAGCTATGTGAACAATCTCATTGGGTTCCAACTCTGCTATTGCCCTTATATCTTCAAGCGTCTCATCACTTTGCTACTTGGTTGAAAGTAGATCAGATTGATTAGCGTTGTCCGAGCTTGATAGTCGATACCGAAGTCTGGTTGCAAGATGATCCAATGAGACATAGAGTTACGCTTTAATCCCTATTTTTTTCCTGGACAGCCTTTTCGGGTTTTCAGTCCACCAGGATACCCTCTTTTGCCCAAGCTGCCTTTTCAGGTTTTCGACTTACCGGGTGTACAAGTTTTTTCATTTTCATCCCTTATTTTTACTCGAACCCGTTTTGGTTCGTCGGGAAGCCCTTATTTTTGCCTAGGCCAGTCGACCTAGCAGGTCTTTGATTATGCGTAGTATTTTTCACTATGTCTGCATTGACGGGGTGAGGAAGGTCGTCACCATCCATAGTGGTTAGAATCATGGCTCCTCTCGAGAAGATGTTATTAACCACAAATGGCCCTTCGTATGTAGGGGTATGTGATACGGTGGCCAGAACCAGGACGTGTTGCCCTTTTTAAGGAATTGCTGGTTTTCATTTTGCGTTTGTGTTTGCAAAATGTCGCGGTAAGCAAGAGTCGCCGCCGACTTTTATTTTATCCAACAAGGAAAGGAAAAAAGCACAGAAAAACTCCTTTTTCGAGATATTTCTGAGTACGGGGGTAGATTATAGTAAGGGAAGGTATTAGCACCATTTCTATCCGTAGTTATCTACGGGCTCTTAGGTACTTGCTCATCATTTTCAAAATTGTTTTCTTTGTGTTTGCATGATTTGAAAAGCTTTTGTTTTGACTTCAATTTAACTCTTGCTTCTGTCTTCAAGAGTGTAATGAAGTGTTTTGAAAACTTTGTTCGTAAAGGAGTGTAAGTGTGAAAAAAGTTTATTTTGTTTGAGCAAGTACTTAAGAACTAATCTACCTACTCGAAAAAAGAATCGTTCTATGTTCGTTTCCTTTAGACAGCGCTATCCCACTATTAGTGAGTAGGTAGCACCGTCGTTGGAGTTTTGAGGGTCAATTCGAAAGGGACGTACCGTCACTAAAGCAACGTTAGGACGTCTTAGTAGTAACCCTAATGTCTTAGATCAGTTATCCGAGGCAAAAATATCTAAGGCAACCTTTCCGAGGAAACTTTGATCTTTGGACAAAAGGACGACCACTAAAGCATCCTATACTCAATGAGCGTTTACCGAAGGCAACCAAGTGAGAGTGTACCCTAGGAGTGCGCATGTGCGAGATTCAATTTCAGATTATTTGTCTTTATGCATCTTCGCGATGTCTCATACCACTATTTGGTCGAAACCCAGGCTTCATGGTGTTCGGAGGAAATCAAGATATTTTCCGTTTGTAATCCGGGCTTCATAACTTGTGTTAAAGATATAGCACTATCTGGTCATAATCCAGGCTTTGCGGTGTCTTTGACTGATATCTGGTCGTAATCCAGGCTTCACAGAAACTTGTATTGCTATCTGGTCGTAATCCAGGCTTCACAATAACTTGCTGAACTTTTATCCTGTTGTAATCCGGGCTTTACGGCTTTTGTTTATAACATACCACTATCTGATTGTAATCCAGGCTTCATGGTAGCTCGCACTGCTATCTGGTCGTAATCCAGGCTTCACAGTAACTTGCTGAGTTGTTATCCGGTTGTAATTTGGGCTTCCCGGCTTGCTGGGGATTAAACTCTTATTCAGTTGTTCTTCGGGCTTCATAGCTTAAAGATAAACCACTATCTGGTCGAATCCAGGCTTCGCGGTGTTTGATACTGCTATCCGGTCATAATCCGGGCTTCACAATATGCTGTATAAATCAAGATACTATCCGGTCGGATCCGGGCTTCATAGCTTGAACTTGGTGAGAATTTGACTGTATCTTTCCTGAAAGGTAAATGGTTAATCGGATGTAATGCATGATATGTATCAAGCAATGATGTTCTCAAAATAAATGAGATTGGTTCGTATGGTGCGTATGTATATGTCATGATGTATGGACATGCAATGTTTTTATGATATTCTCTAGCCGGGGAAAATAAATCCCAGATTGTTGTTGGAGAAAAGAGTTGAATTTTGCGTCTCCGCTGGGGATAGTGAATGAAGATGATTGTGAGAACAATCCTGTTGGAGAATGAACCGGCGAGAGAATGATTCTGTGGGAATGAGATGCTCTGTTAGAGGTCCTGTTGATTTGGAGGAATACCCTCGACTGGGGATGAATTCTCACTGCTGGCGATACCGGCCTTTGTTGGGGATAAAGTTTCTGTTTGTGAAAGGAATGAACTCCGCTGGGGATGATTTTCCATTGGCGACTTCACTGGGGATAATCTTTTAGACTCTACTGGGGACAATATTCCAGACTCTACTGGGGGTAATCCTCCAAACTCCATTGGGAATAATCTTTTAGTGCGGGTAATAGATAAACTCTGCTTGGGGAGAATCTTGCCGACTCACTCGCGGTCACGAGCCTCAACTGGGGAGAGTGGTGTCTTGTTCAGGACAGCTAATGTCACTGTCTTTTTCTTACTCTGCGGGGAGTGAATGTACCTTTAATCGTTTTCTCCAACTAGGTTTATCCCTATACCTGGTGGACAGAGCAACCGTAAGGTTTGGACATTTTCTTATTTGCCCTTGTTTCTGATATTACGAGTAATTGTCTTTTGTTTCGCATGTAAATATTTATGAGCAACAATTATTGTCAAATTCATATGTCAAAAATGAACCATTGGACATTCTTGCAAAACAAAACAGAAAAAGGAAAATAATTTAAATTTTCTTTATGAAAATGAATTGTATTAATTTTGAAGTTGGCCTGTAAATAGGAGTTTTTGTACAAGAGGCTGACATCCTAGTAAGAGAATGCTGCCGAACAATAGAATTTATACAGTTTGTGTAAAAGAAAGAAAAACAGCTATGTGAACAATCCCATTGGGTTCCAACTCTGATATTGCCCTTATATCTTCAAGCGTCTCATCACATTGCTACTTGGTTGAAGGTAGATCAGATTGATTAGCGTCGTCCGAGCTTGATAGTCGATACCGAAGTCTGGTTGCAAGATGATCCAATGAGACATAGAGTTACGCTTTAATCCCTACTTTTTTCCTGGACCGCCCTTTCGGGTTTTCAGTCCACCAGGATACCCTCTTTTGCCCAAGCTGCCTTTTCAGGTTTTCGACTTACCGGGTGTACAAGTTTTTTCATTTTCATCCCTTATTTTTACCCGAACCCTTTTGGTTCGCCGGGAAGCCCTTATTTTTGCCTAGGCCAGTCGACCTAGCGGGTATTTGATTATGCGTAGTATATTTTCACTATGTCTGCATTGACGGGGTGAGGAAGGTCGTCACCATCCATGGTGGTTAGAATCATGGCTCCTCCCGAGAAGATGTTCTTAACCACAAATGGCCCTTCGTATGTAGGGGTCTGTGATACAGTGGCCAGAACCAGGACGTGTTTCCCTTTTTAAGGAATTGCTGGTTTGTATTTTGCGTTTGTGTTTGCAAAATGTCGCGGTAAGCAAGAGTCGCCACCGACTTTTATTTTATCCAACAAGGAAAGGAAAAAAGCACAGAAAAATTCCTTTTTCGAGATATTTGAGTACGGGGGGTAGATTATAGAAAGGGAAGGTATTAGCACCCTTTCTATCTGTAGTTATCTATGGGCTCTTAGGTACTTGCTCATCATTTTCAAAATTGTTTTCTTTGTGTTTGCGTGATTTGAAAAGCTTTTGTTTTGACTTCGATTTAACTCTTACTTCTGTCTTCAAGAGTGTAATGAAGTGTTTTGAAAACTTTGTTTGTAAAGGAGTGTAAGTGTGAAAAAAGTTTATTTTGTTTGAGCAAGTACTTAAGAACTAATCTACCTACTCGAAAAAAGAATCGTTCTATGTACGTTTCCTTTAGACAGCGCTATCCCACTATTAGTGAGTAGGTAGCACCGTCGTTGGAGTTTTGAGGGTCAATTCGAAAGGGACGTACGGTCACTAAAGAAACATTAGGACGTCTTAGTAGTAACCCTAATGTCTTAGATCAGTTATCTGAGGCAACAATATCCGAGGCAACCTTTCTGAGGCAACTTTGATCTTTGGACAAAAGGACGACCACTAAAGCATCCTATACTCAATAACCGTTTACCGAAGGCAACCAAGTGAGAGTGTACCCTAGGAGTGCGCATGTGCGAGTGATTCAATTTCAGATTATTTGTCTTTGCATATTTTAGGGTGATCTAACTGTTTTAAAATTAATCATACATTCTTGTCATGCATCCTAATATCATACATCTAACAGTTAATAATTTGCGGAAATTAAACTACGCTATTATAAGGCTTCGGGTATTTACATAGCCAAAAACAAACCCTTTGAAAATAAAGCGATAAAAGTAAAGACCTAATTAACTATTACAAATAAATTGAAAGACAAGTAAAAAGTAAAAATAAAGAAGAGAAAAGACTTCTTCGATCCATGCCATAGACTCATTTGATTCACCCTTCTTTGGCCTTCTTTCGATTGAGCTAGGGAATGAGTGTGAGTAGCCTTCGATTGGGCTTGAGAATTGACGGGGCAAGCTTCGATTTTCACCCTTTCCTGCCTCCTTTGATTGGCTTTGGATAGGATATGGGTAAACTTTGATTGCAGGGAGAAAGGGAGGGCTTCGATTCAGAGGAAGAAGGCTGCCTTTCAATTCTATGAAGGGTGTTGCTGGAAAGGCCTGAAGGATCACCTGTGGAGGCACCGCATCTGCAAAAATATGTTAGCAAAATAAAACGCATGACCTGGGTATCAAAACCCAGGTCCTTCGATCCTGGGTGCGCTGGGTCTTTTCAGGCTATATCTGTAGCAAGTGTTAGCAACAAAAAACATGACCTGGGTGCCAAACCCAAGCCCTTTGATTCTGTCTAGAATGACAAATCGAGTGAAACAAAAAATATGGATGTGTTATGTAAATACAAAGTTTGACATTTTACCCTTTCTTACCAGTAGTTGGAACCTTTGATTTGGCACTTTCTGGATGTGGGTACCTTCGATCTGGGATTTCTGGGCGTGGATACTTTTGTTGAAGGGTTGCTTTAGCTTGGATTACTTATGAAAATGTTGACAATCTTTGGTGGGTTTGTGGGCAGCGTATCTCAAAATGTCCTCGTCCCTTTGTAATGTGTCCTTGGCCTCGTATTTATAGAAGTGTGAGGGTGCATGAAAATGGCAAGGGGACAACCATTTAACCAGGCCTTTAAAGCCATGAGACAAGAATCAGACATATTAAAACATTTCCTTTTTGAAATATTCATGTCTCTTTGGAATCTTGAATGAACCTGGACACCTTTGATTTTCGAATGCCTTCAGGCCATGCTCTTCGATTGGTCTTGAGTTTCCTCCTTCGAATGGACTTCTTATGTACCCTTCGAATGGTCCTTTTGAATGCTTCTTCAAATGGACCTTTTGAATGTTCTTCGAATGTACCCTTTGAATGCTTCTTCAAATGGACCTTTACATGTTCTTCGAATGAGTCATTTACATGTTCTTTGAATGAGCCTCTTGCCTGGTGTGCTAGCAAGTTGAGGGGCCTTTTCCTTTGTGAATCGAAACAAACTTGTAGGAGATTCTTGCCTCGTGAGTTGAAGGTAAGCCTGAAGTAGTTAATGCATAGTCGAAGCATTGTGAAATTGACTTGATCGAAGGGGGTCCAGCGCTCAATCGAAGACTTACAAACCAAAGCTTGATCGAAGGGTTCCAAACACCTAATCGAAGCTTACTAATCAAAGCCCGATCGAAGAGTGCCAAATGCCCAATCGAAGACTGGTGAGTCAAGCCTGTATCGAAGGATTTTGGATACCCAATCGAAGACTTTTCCCATATGCCAATTGAAAGACACTTTGTTCATCTTCAAAAAACTTTATTTTCATTAGAAAAGTGTTTGTGACCAACCATGTAAGGGAAGACCTTCGAAAACATGAGAGGGAAAATTTTGGGGTACAACAGGGTCCATTTGCCCCTGGGATCACCTTGAGGCAGTATGATGCGTTTGATCACCAGATCACCGACTTGATACTCTTGTCGTCTGACTTTCTTGTTAAATGCCTTGATAATCTGTTTTTGATACGTCTAACCATGACAAATGGCAGTAAGTATTTTTTCGTCGATTAAGTTCAGCTGATCAAGTCGGGTCTGGATCCAGTCGTCCTCGCTCAAACCTGCATCCTTCATAATCCGAAGAGAGGGTATCCAGACTTTAATGGGTAAGACTGCCTCCATGCCATACACCAAAGAGTAGGGTGTTTCCCCTGTTGAAGTCTGCGCTGAAGTACGGTACCCATGAAGAGCGAATGGTAACATCTCGTGCCAATCTTTGTATGTCACTGTCATCTTCTACACAATCTTCTTGATGTTCTTATTAGTCGTTTCAACAGCCTCATTCATCTTCGTCCGATAAGGAGAAGAGTTGTGATGATGTATCTTGAACTGCTTGCAGAGCTCGATGATCATAGTATTGTTGAGATTTGTACCATTGTCCGTAATGATCCTCTCGGGTACACCATATCGACAGATCAAATTGTGCCGAATAAACCGCGCCACAACGTTCTTGGTCACTGTAGCAAAGGAAGTTGCCTCAACCCATTTTGTAAAGTAATCAATTTCTACCAGGATGAAATGATGCCCGTTGGACACAGTAGGTCTGATCTCACCATTCATATCGATGCCCCACGTTGCAAAGGGCCAAGGAGTCGTCAAGACGTTCAGAGGAACTGGAGGTACATGCACCTTATCAGCATAGACTTGGCACTTATGACAAGTTCGAGAATGTTTATAGCAGCCGGCTTCCATGGTGGACCAATAATATCCTGCCCGTAGGATCTTCTTTGCCATGGTATGTCCACTAGAATGAGTCCTGAAAGTACCTTCATGTAACTCTACCATAATCCTTTCTGCCTCGTTCTTATCCACACATCACAGTAAGGTTGAATCATGGTTACGCTTGTAAAGGATACCATTGTTGATGAAGAACTTTTCCACGAATCTCCTCAGAAACTTCTTATCATTAACATATGCACCCTCGGGGTACTCTTGAGCCTCAAGATACCTTATTACCTCATGAAACCAGGGTTTATCTGTTACTTCTTCAGTCTCAATGTCACAGTAATGTGCAGGTTCGTCCAACCTCTCGATGGTAATTTGGGGAGCCTCATTGTCCCACCTGACCTTGAACATAGAATACATGGTAGCTAGCGCGTCCGCTAACTGATTCTCCTCCCTGGGGAAATGTTCAAAGGTTATCTCCTCAAAGTGTGGGAGCAACGTCAATACATACTCTTTGTAAGGAATAAGATTTGGGTTCTTCGTATCCCACTCGCCTTTGATCTGACTGATTACGAGAGCGGAATCTACGAATACACATCACTACGCCAAATAAGCTATTTAATAGCGCTTTTTTTTGTTTTTGATAGCGCTTAAAAGTGCTATTAACCGCGCCACTATTGTAAATATTTCTTATTTAATAGCACTTTAAAAGCGCTATTAAAGTACCAATTTATAATAGCGTTTTAATTAAAGTGCTATCAAAGTCAGTATTTTGCATGTTTTTTGTTTGTTTTTTTATAGCACTCTAAACAAAAAGCGCTAATATATAACATATGTTTGATAGCGCTTTCAAATAAAGTGCTAATAAATGGTACATATTTGGTACAATATTTTTAATAAGTACAGTACAATATTTTTTCTTACACAATCATTTTTTTTGGTGTAAATATAAAATAACTATATTCAATTCAACACAAATAACGCTTTAAGTTACTCATTGCATATATATTATGATCCATCAAATACCAAATAACATTTTAAATTACCAAATCCTATTGTTTCCAAATATCATAACATATAGAATATTAAGAGGGCGTTTGCATAGCCAAATTTGTAGATGCCCATCTATGAGTACTTCAATCCAAATCCAAAAACATACAATCAAATTCTCTAAACAAAACACCAAAAAAATAAGAAAGGATAACAAAACAATCCCATGTAGTAACCACCTTCATGATCCAAAAGCGTTGAACTCATAGCCTCTTTATTTTTTTTCGCGCTCCAATTGTCCAAGCTTATTGGAACTAACCGACGAACTGTGACACCAATGAAACTAGCAAAAGTCTTGCTATTATGCTTGATTGGTTGACCTCTGGAATTCCATTGAACCTATAACAAAATTAAAGTGCAAATAAAGAATCAACAGTCTCACTAATAGTGTTTAACATTCAAATAGTTTCAAACAACTAACTCATAAAAGATAATCATGTATGTAACCATCACTCATACATAGTTCAGTAAAAGGAAAATTGCCAAGGGAGTAAACAGTATCATAAAACTCTAGCTATTTTACCTCAATTCTCTTTCCATTGCTTTTGGCTTTGTGAATTTTTTGCAATCGGGTCACACCATGTTTACCAACTGTTTTCTTACTAGACGAACCACTTTCATCATCAATAGAAGCCATATTTCACCTATAAAAATTTAAAAAGTTATATACCATACAAGAATAACATTAAGAAGCAATAACAATAAAAAAATGAAAAACAAATAAATAAACCATACAAGATTAAGTCGGCCTTTTCCTCTTCCTTGTAGTTGGATTCCTACTTTTCTGTTTTCTAGTTACATAAAATGATGGATTGATCCAAATCCCATCACTGTGATCGTTTCTCAATATAAATTCAAATTACAGCTTAAATTGTAATAGTATATCAATAGAAGTAGAAATAACTGCAACAAGCTCAAAATCAGAACCCGGTCGCTCTGTATCCTTTCCATTTACACAATTCTCTGTATCCTTTCCATTTACACAGTTGACAGAACAAACACTTTTTAGAAAAATTTCTCTGTATCCTTTCTATTCACCTGCATAAAGAATCTTCATTTATGACCTTAGTCTATACCATATGGTCCTGAGAAATATTTATTGCTCTTAAGATTCAGAACTCTCGCTGCTTCCAGAGCTTCCTGTTAATATTAATTCCGAGAAAAACAGGACTAAAGAGTTTAGAAATATGAACACATGAATAAAACTTATATAGTGGCACAAACGAGTTCTCAATATTATACTAATATAATACAAATGCAGCAGACTTAGAAGCATAAAAAGCTACAAATACAATATTAGCAAACAGAACATTTGTATCCAAGAATTCAATCAACACCAAGAATTCAATTAACACCAAGAATGACTATCAATTTTTCATATGATTTTCATAATTTATGCATATTGATCAAGAGAAGAAAATAGGCACTGCATTGCTACAAGTGTGATCTGACATGATTTCAAATTGCAAGATGAACATGTTTATTAAAAATGAAAACCCAACAGTTCATTCACTCCAATACACAATAATGCAATAATCTCATGAATCATGAATCATGATAGAGGACAAGGATTGAAAGAATTCAAAACAACAAGATTCAACATTTGAACATGATATTAATGCTGAAGTGAACACCAAGAATTCAGTTTAACTTCGACATGCTCAACTACAGTTAGATTCATAATATAAAATTAGTCATATAAGCTAACAAGAACACTTCTTCTAACAAACACAATTATGAGACTTTACTTGATCAGCAGTGGCGTGAGGAGAATGGCTTAGTGGCCAACCTTACAAATTTGTGTCATCAATTCAGTAATGGAAAGATGCAGTATGTCAAAGATCTTATCAGCAATACCATTTACAAGATTATTAGTAAGATTGTGGTCAATAGGCACAAGATTATTAGTAAGATTGTGGTCAATAGGCACAAGATAAGTAAATGGCATAAAGGGTATTGTAATAAATAATAATCATGGCATTTGACACTATACATATCAAACAATTTAAAGTAGTAGTACAAAATTGCTGATATTGAGCACCCATCACCAAATAACATACCAACAAAGAGTAATGAATATGTAAGAGTCTTCAAGCACTCCCTCCTTCGCTCTCTTTTACTATCACATATTACAATTTCCTTGGCATTAAGTTTCCTAGCCAGCTATCACATTATTGCAAATTACAAGTAAAAAAATTACTTGTTTGCTTTGACTCCAAAGCAATTCTGATTATGGAGTAGTAGAGTAGTAGAATAGTATCACCCCCTGTAACTAAATTAAACAGGTGAGGTGATCTGGTGAATTTAATATGAAAAATGCTACTTGTTTTAATCAAGAAATTATGTGAATCGCACTAGTATTAAGTCAAAACTTTAATGAGAACCAGACTTGTCAAGTTCTTCGAGAGCTGCCCACAATTTTGGATCATCATAATCTTTAATCAGAAAGGTGGGTTTTGCTCCCATCAGCAAATGCTCTGGGGTTCGGGTAGATAAACCGATAACATGCATCCCAGCAGCCACACCAGCTTTGATTCCTGAAACAGAATCCTACGACAACAACATGGATCTGTCAGAAGCATAATAAGAACAGATCTATAGCAATGCAGAGAAAAGAAACAAACAGACCTCAAATACAAACGTGTGATCTTTAGATGCTTTTAGAGCTTCAAGGCCTTTCAAGTATGGCTCTGGATGAGGTTTGGGATGTTCACATTCATCACCATATGTTATACCTATCTTAGGCCTTCTAGTATTTGGAACTCTGGAAGTTTGAAATTCATCTGAAAAAAATGATATTGAAAGTGTGAAATGTCGGTTTTTTTGCCTCAAGTAAACAAATTTAGGTCAATAGACACAAATAGACACAATCACACAATTCATCAAATATACAAGAATGTGCATAATCCATTTTTGGACTTATTTCTATAAGCTCTCTACAATAGACACAATCACACAATTCATCAAATATACAAGAATGTGCTTTTAGCTTTTCTTATTCTAGTGTTGAAATCAAACTCCAATTTTAACATGATTGATATTTGTTATTATAATGTTTAGGACAAGAAGATGATGATGCTACATCTCTCCAAAGCCAACCACCTCCTCGCGACGCTTTCCGGATACGACAGTTCCTGAAAGCTCGAGCTAACAGCACATCACAAACGGGATCAGTTTCATGTGGAAGTGCACTTTCTGGCGATTTATCTGGCAGCACCAGTAGATAACTTAAAGAGAATACCATTTGGTCTTTTCAAAATCTATTGTATGCATGAGATTTCACGTCACTAAATTTTCATGATAATCCAACCAACAAATTGAATGATGTAGCAGGGAATGTAATGAAACAAAAATTAAGTAGATACACCAGAAAAAGTCACAGAAAAATTAGAGAAAAACACTCACCATTCTTCTCGGAACCCTATCTAAGAAATCTCTCTCAATTCTCTCTACTTCCTCTTGCAATCTTCATCTCTGTAGCATGGGGGCAGAACCTTCAATTTTCATCTCCGCTTTCGGAATCTGCAAGTGTCATCATCATCGCAACATCTTTGTTCATTACTTCAGAAACAACATCAAGAATCTACAATAGAACGCACCAACAACGCAGAATTAGTGCATGAAGAACGCAAGAAAAAGAAGTAGAGAACGAGTAGCAAAAAGGAGAAGAAGGTAGAGGTGAAAACGTAAAGCCGGAAGTGTTGAATCGTACCTGAGAGATCTAATTTCTTTCGATTCTTTCGTCTTCCTCTCCAACACGATAACCGCCGCCAACAAGTTAGTCCTTTCCTCAAATTCTCTTAGCTTTCTTTATACCACGGAGTAGTTTAGGATCCTCTAAACATTTCTCCTCTTCCAATAGCGTGATTGCAAGCTTCGTTACCGGTTAATTCCATACTTTAGCTTTCTAGGGTTCATGATGTAGAGGTTTTGACGGGAGCTTGAGAAAAGTGGATCAGATATGGAAGGAGAGAAAGGTTTCTGAAAATGTGTTTTTTTTTTATTTTATCAATTAATTAATTAATTCATTATTATATATAAGATAGCGCTTTTTAATAAATGCTATTATATAGGTAGTCAAATAATAGCGTTTTATACAAAATGCTATCTTAAAGAAGTTTAATAATAGCGTTCTGGTACAAAGTGCTATCAAAATTACATAGTCTGTATTATATAATAGCGCCCGATTAAAAAGTGCTATTATAAATGTGTTTTTTCCATTTTAATAGCATTTCTTTTAAAAGTGCTATTAAATTAGGTGATACAAAAAATCATTTTTGGCGTAGTGCATAAGAACTTAATCCTTAGGTCAATAGCTGCTCAAAGGCCCATGATGCATGCTTCATACTCCGCCATGTTGTTGGTGCAGTTAAAACATAATCAAGCAATGAATAGAGTATGACAGCCCTCAGGAGATATGATCATAGCGCCAATGCCATTACCCAACGCGTTTGAAGCTCCATCAAAATACATAGACCATCAGGATCCCTCCTTAGGTCCTTCATCCGGTCCAGGTACTTCACAGTCAGTTACCAACATGATGCTCTCATTCGAAAACTCGAAGTTCATAGACTGGTAATCATCCATGACCTGATGTGCCAAATGATCCGCCAACACACTCCCCTTTATTGATTTTTAGGTTGTGTATTGGATGTCATACTCAGTCAAGATCATCTGCCATCTCGCTATTCTTCCGGACAAGGCAGGCTTTTCGAAGATATACTTGATTGGATCCATCTTCGATATCAATAGAGTAGTGTGAATCAGCATATACTGTCTCAGCCAGCGAGTAGCCCATGCCAAAGCGCAGCAATTTTTCTCAAGCAGTGAGTATCGGGTCTCACAGTCGGTAAACTTTATGTTAAGGTAGTAAATAACATGCTCTTTTCGGCCAGACTCGTCATGCTGCCCCAGCACACACCCCATCGAATTGTCGAGTACTGTCAAGTATAAGATCAAAGGTCTCCCTTCAACTGGAGGCATCAGAATAGGAGGATTTTGGAGATATTCTTTGATCCTTTCGAAAGCGGCCTGAAATTCATTATTCCATCTTACCACTTGATCTTTCTTTAGTAGCTTGAAGATTGGTTCACAAGTAGCAGTCAGATGTGAAATGAATCGGGCAATGTAATTTAGACGTCCCAGAAAGCCTCTGACTTCTTTTTCCATTCGGGGAGCTAGCATCTCTTGTATAGCCTTCACCTTTGTAGGATCCACTTGAATACCTTTATCACTAACAACGAAACCCAGCAGCTTACCAGATCTTACCCCGAAGGCGCACTTGTTCGAGTTTAACCTTAGTTTGTACATCTTTAACCTGTCAAATAGCTAATGGAGATGGTCAAGATGTTCCTCCTCAGTCTGGGATCTTGCAATCATGTCATCAACGTATACTTCAATCTCATGATGAATCATGTCGTGGAACAGAGCGACCATGGCGCACTGATACGTTGCCCCAGCATTCTTCAATCCAAACGGCATGACTTTGTAGTAAAAGGTACCCCGCTGCATGATGAACGTTGTCTTCTCCATGTCTTCGGGAGCCATCTTAATCTGATTGTAACCAGAGAAACCATCTATGAAGGAGAAGACCTTATGATGTACGGTGTTGTCAACCAGAACATCGATATGAGGCAG